ATTGTAATCACGATAGCTCGTCGTTAAAATACGAAAAAGCATGTCTTTAATATCGTTGAGCGCGGAATTGAATCGTATTATGCAAATGAGTTAACTGATCGAGAGTGTAAAGCGGTTTCGAATATAGATTAAATTCACAGAGCAGGGCTTTTACATTGCCCAATCGGTTACACACTTTTGCGTAACGTCGATCCAATTAGATCAAACATCGAGGACACATGCGATATAAAAGGGAGAGAATTTTTTTTTCCAATGAAAAAGAAACTCCTGCGATTATTTATTATTAGATACGTATTTCGCTTCGCGAAAATATATTCTATCGTCATTTCCGAGAGATTCAGATAGAATCTTTTGTTGGATCTTAGATTATAATGATTATGGCAGCATGTAGAGGAGGTCTCAATAACATTTCGCCGAGCAGGCATTGGAAGATTTCATTTCTTTCCTGGCTCGTCTCGTGTCAAACGCCCTCGGCTTAATCGTCCGAGGACGTTTATGCAAGGACTCGATCGCGCAGGCAATTCGATCGCGCGAATCGAAAGGCGAATCGCGCCAAGTCTCGGGTCGCCTTGGCTCGGCTAATATCACAGATGAAAGTGAGTTTATACCAAGCGACGCGTCCGCATCGCGGTAAGAGGATGCGCTCTCGCAGATCACCTCTCTCCTCTTGGTCGCTGCGAGAGGAGCCAGCGACTTCCTCTCCGCAGCAAGACGAATGGAGAGGCGTGGGAGACCGTGTCTCATTCACCGGGTAGTGACTTGTACTACGCTGTGCTAGCGGTGTACGTCGCATCACGAGAAACGATCGAGAGCCATGCCGGGACCTGCGATTACTTTTACGATTCCTGGACAGCTCACGGTATGGCTCACGACGCGACGTGACCCTCGCGGCGATTCGTAAAATGTTCCGGAGTATCTAGCCGTATGATACATCGCATCGCCTCGAGGCTCTCGACGTGCTTCCGCTACGATTCTTCGTAGCTGTATCTAAAGATTGAATAACTTCCTAACAAGAAAAAAACTTGATTTACCATCTTTTCTCTCTCTTACAAATTCTGCGGGAGATTTTCGATATTTAAGCTCGGAAATTAAATGGCGAATTAAGATTCCGCGTTGCAGCAAAATGTAGAAAGAAGATCGGAGAGGAGAAAGGAAAGTAAGATGTACGCGGTTGTGAACTTTGAAATTTTAATCAAGTTTTTCTTTTTATCGCTCGCGACTATTGAAGTTCCCCGTGTTGAGACTATTCACGCCTTGACATTGAAACGAGAGAATACGAGGCTTTTTATATTGGCCTCCGTTACTCGACGAGCCGCGAGAGAAAGTGCGCGTTGCCCGAGACAGTAAACTGTTTCGTAAGATTTGCATCAATCTTTAGGTGCGTTATATCCGAATCGAATTTCGAAGCGATGGATTGGACTTTTTCATATTGATGAAGATTTTACTTTACTCATTTTATAGCCGTATTGTGATCGTATAAGACGACGAAGCTCTAAGATTAGCGAAGTTAAAGTTAATCTATATTACTGACAATAAGAAGAGGAGAAAGCAGTAAAGACTAGATTGGTAAGATTAGCGCTTCAATCACGAAGAGAATGATGACGATTGAAAAGAATATGATTTCTTTCGACTTCCATTTCCTCCTTCCGCCTCTGACATTTTCTCTCTTCCTTAGGCCGTTTGACATTCCAAATTAATCATTTAGTATATTGTTATTTTATCGTATCTTGCATTTTTTTTTATATATATTTTATATTAAATTTTATATTTTGATTTACAATATAATCCTTTTAATTTGGGACGGTCGTTTTTTTTTATTATTGTAGTGAGTGACAGGATTAAAAACTAAATTTGAATCAACTTGTATACGATGTACGTAATAATGACGATACGTACCGAGCGGCAAAATCCTGGAGAAGAATTTTAGATAAGAATCAGAGAGTCGTGACATCGAAAGTTCATAGCGATGGAACGTACGTCCTGAATGGACCATCACGGCTAGATATAACCGATGAAGCATATATTGCCGTGGCACAAATACGCTAAGAACAAGTATTACGACGCGATATTTTATCAGCAAATAAATATTTATCTCGCACGTTTAAATATTTGACGTTATCTTCGTTGCACTAAATTTGCGGAAGCAAGACTTATATCCGGAGGGCAGTTTTAGAAACTTGAGACGAATACCAATGAACGATTCACGACATATTCGACAATAAAATTCCGTTCACGGAATACGTGTATACGATTGGATTTAGTATTATTGCTTTGATAATCTAATATTTATCTAGAATGGAAAAATATCTTTTGATAATCGGTTCGACTTTAGATTGATATCACGAGAGAATATTGACAGTTAATTTAACTATAGAATATCAATAATATTTTAAAAAATTGACATCGCAAAAATATAATAATATTATTATATTTTCCCAGCTTTTTCTTGTACAGATATTTTCTTATTGGATGTGGTAGCGCTTCAATCACGAAGAGAATGATGACGATTGAAAAGAATATGATTTCTTTCGACTTCCATTTCCTCCTTCCGCCTCTGACATTTTCTCTCTTCCTTAGGCCGTTTGACATTCCAAATTAATCATTTAGTATATTGTTATTTTATCGTATCTTGCATTCTTTTTTAAATATATTTTATATTAAATTTTATATTTTGATTTACAATATAATCCTTTTAATTTGGGACGGTCGTTTTTTTTTATTATTGTAGTGAGTGACAGGATTAAAAACTAAATTTGAATCAACTTGTATACGATGTACGTAATAATGACGATACGTACCGAGCGGCAAAATCCTGGAGAAGAATTTTAGATAAGAATCAGAGAGTCGTGACATCGAAAGTTCATAGCGATGGAACGTACGTCCTGAATGGACCATCACGGCTAGATATAACCGATGAAGCATATATTGCCGTGGCACAAATACGCTAAGAACAAGTATTACGACGCGATATTTTATCAGCAAATAAATATTTATCTCGCACGTTTAAATATTTGACGTTATCTTCGTTGCACTAAATTTGCGGAAGCAAGACTTATATCCGGAGGGCAGTTTTAGAAACTTGAGACGAATACCAATGAACGATTCACGACATATTCGACAATAAAATTCTGTTCACGGAATACGTGTATACGATTGGATTTAGTATTATTGCTTTGATAATCTAATATTTATCTAGAATGGAAAAATATCTTTTGATAATCGGTTCGACTTTAGATTGATATCACGAGAGAATATTGACAGTTAATTTAACTATAGAATATCAATAATATTTTAAAAAATTGACATCGCAAAAATATAATAATATTATTATATTTTCCCAGCTTTTTCTTGTACAGATATTTTCTTATTGGATGTGGTATCATAAATAAAATATGCTCAAAAGTATATTACGTGTATATATATATAATCCACATTATTAATCGCACCGTTGGTGTTCTTAAGATTTGCTTTTAATTGGTCACTTGAGACAAAGTGAATTGGTCTGACGTTAATTACGTTTATGATATAGATGTCTATACAACCAATATTTTCTTTACAGAATTTTCTTAATTATTTCACAATTTCCTGCGTTTTTTAGCATTATACTTACTTAAAGTTATATTTTTGCCATTACCTATACATCTTATACAATTGGAAATAATTAATTCGATTTGCGCATTAATGTTTAAGTCGGTTATTCCACTTTAATAGTTACTTGAAGACGGTTTAAGTAATTCCAAATAATATGCCTGTATTTTTTTTTTTACGAGCGACCACACAGCTTTCTCTATTACCTTCCTACTCTAGTCCCAAAGATTGCCTAGTTTTTTCGCCACGATCGCGCAACTTCTAATTCTCTCGATCTTAGCTCATCCATTTGGCTTTGCTATATTCGTTCGCACCGCCCATCTAATCAGTTGGAAGGCACGAAGAATCTGAGAATGGAAAATACGATATAATAATGAGAATATTTCGTAAAAACTGAAACGCGCGCTTTTATAAGAGAATAATCCGGCTATTTTATACAGGATGTTTCAAAGTTAAACGATCAAATCTTGCCAGTATATATTATGAGGAAAAAAAGAAAAAAATACTATATAAACATAGGTCTTGAAACGCTTTATTAAAACGTTACAATGAAGATATCAAACATGAATAGCGGATTTGCTGTTAATATATTACGATGTAAGAATAGGTTGGCGAGAGAGATATTTATCTAAGAAGGACCAATTGTTTAGTCTCCGAGATTACCAAGTTTTATATAGATTTTTATCTGCGGGGAAATGTGAAAACGATAGTGTACCCTACGAGAGTTGATTCGCGACAGAAACTGATAGTCAGGCTCAATGATGCATTCATTAAACTAAAGCATGATAAATATGAGATTTATAAGATGTCAAATTAAATCTCGCAATGATATCAACTCTTGCATTAGCAACGGAGGATGGCATTTTGAAATAGAAAATTAAACAAATTACTTTTTTTCTTAAAGTAACGTGATAATAAAACATTTCTGGACCTCTCTATGATTACATTATATAACATTTCTTTCTTATTTCTATTCATAAAACATACTGGCAAATTGTTTAACTTTGAAATATCCTGCACATAATCGAATACTTTCGGATGACAAATCAAGAGACGTTAGCAGATATATTGATATTTAGTCATCAGAGGACAATTATATTCCGTAGGAGCGTTCTGCGAGAAACCGAAACGTCCGGAATTGCGGCAGTTTCATCCGACAATCGCGGTTAACCCGCGTATGTCAGATGCACAGTTGTTGCGGACTGATTGTTAATCAACCCCGAGACGCGCGTCCATAGTTTCGCTGATCGTGACGACGATCCCGCCGTTGATCAACCGGCCCTGAATGTCGGGCGACCGCTTCTCTCTGCGCCGCTCCGGTGGGGATGGAGATCCTGGCGGCATGAGATCCGCGCGCCCCACAGGCGACTCGTCAGTATCGTGCCGCGACTCCCTCGCGACGAGAGAGCGTCCGCTTCAAGTTCCTCGGCTCTACTCGCTGTTAACGCTCTCTCTCTCTCTTTCTCTTTTCTTTCCTTCTTCTCTCCCTCTTCCTTTTTTTTTCTCTTCCTTCGCTCGCGAAATCAACGCGAACGAGACCGCGCGGCGCTCGCTCGCGCGAGTGTGCGACGACGTGCGTTTCCCCTTCGCTACCCCCCGGTATCGGAGCCGGTATCGCGTGTGTGCTACGATTTTGGAGATTTAGGGGTTCCGCGAGATTCTGAGGATCCAGTGATAGTGTTGTCACCATCGGCAATCGGATCCGCTTGCGGGGCTTAACACCAGGTAGGAGATCGTTGTATAACGCTTTTTTAAATTAAATCCCTCTGGATACGCGTTCCATTGAGAACGTGCCGTTGTCACTGATAACACGGTGTCCATTTTTTCATTTGAAAAGCTTGAATACGTATATATGTTTATATCATACATTTATTCTCCCATACATTTTAAATTGCACGAGACATTCCCTTTCAAAATGCAAAAAAAGAAGTAATCGGAATAAATAAGAAATAAATGTAAAATTATTAAAGTGTATTTAATTATTATTTAATTATTATAGTATTTATATATGTTGCAGCTTTTTTGCAATTAGTCTTTTCGCAAAAGCTTTTATTTTATTTATTTTTTTTTTTTCGTGAAGCACCGAATTAGTGTAGATTAGTGTTTTATAGAAACTCCAGGTTTTTTCGAGGTAAAGAAGCCGAATTTATAAACGGCTTGCAACATAACTATATTTTCTTTTTAATTTTTGGACTATGTGGTTTTAATAACAATTAGAATATAACAAATTTATAAATGCTGCATATATATGTAAAATAAGAAACATTTTAAAAATAAATATATTTAAATAATTATAATAAAATTTAGCTTTGTGTAATAAATTATAAATGCAGAACAATTTTATATTTTAACAAAATTAAAATTTATTGAAATACACGATAATTCTATCCAAAATGCCTAACAATCTTGCTCAAAATCTAAGATTATTATTATACTGTATGATTTTTATGTATCTGAAATAATGAAGTTATTATATATTACATTATATCCGACATTGCCTGGAAATTTGAATATTAGTGAAAGTACGAATTTTTGTCTGCACCGAATACTTTATAAGATTCGTTCGCTGTCATTATTTATCTTCAAAAGCGATCGAAAAAGCGGTTCCGCCTTTAAAGTGGCACACCAGTTATACAGAGGAGAATGTTTCGCGCCGAAACAGCTGATTACGAAACTTGTAAATATCACATTCATGCAGAAAAACGCGGCAGTAAATTCAACCAAAATTTTTAAAAGTGCAACTGACACGAGAATTTTCCGGCGCGTTTAACTAAAGGGTCATCGTCAAGGCAGGGTATTTCCATAGCCGGAGATGTAACGCGAACTGACGCGGATCGATGGAGCATTAGTTTAGAAGATATTTAACGAGAGTAATCCACTTAATTTTTTAGTTCGAGCAAATCTCATTTTTAACAATTTCGGTATTTTTGGCGTCAAATTTTTCTCATTGTTAGTGAAATCTGCAGGAAGTATATTTTTGTACTACTTATTTTATTATTAATTAAATGCAACAGCGAACGTTTGATACTGCGTTGTTTTCATGGAATAAAAATAACCTCGACTATATTTGTTTAATGTTGTTGTAAGTAAAATGATAGCTTTTGCGCAAAATCGCAAATGCGAATGTGAGCGAAAAATACGTAAATGGAAATTTAATGCAATACTTTATCACGCAAAGCTACGATTCTAGTAATTTATATCATATGAAAGAGATTTTAATTGGGTATTATATTGTATGCCAACAATTGCTGTATAATTTCATTGAGTGCTCTTCAACGTTTTTACCGCTTAATTACATTTTGCTCGAACTTTTACCGTTCCTGAGGCTTATAAACGCATCAGGGGGTTTTCCCGTTGAATCGAACAAACTTTGGCGCGTTTCCATGCTTCTCTCTCTCTCTCTCTCTCTCTCTCTCCGCACACAAGCAAACCCCTTTTATTATTCTCGTCGACACCAGGAAAGACGCAGTTTTTCAAATGCGCATTTAAATAACGGCCAACCCTGCGGTCCGACATCAGGAAGGACATTTGTCATGTAACAACTTTTCATTTATCTCCCTCATATTATTTCCTGTCATTAATCTCTCTCTCTCTCTTTGCAAGATTGTTAATTCAAATTTTACATTTATTGCAATTTTAAGCAAGTCAATATATGTATTTCGGAAGTCACATGAAACATTATTAAAAAAATAATGCTGTTAAATTGCAAAGCGCATTAAACAATTAATCAGCTTAGGGAGAATTATATTAATCTGAAGCAATCTATAGATAAGTATTCGAGTGTTACTTGCGATATTCGACATCCGACATTTGCATGATATATGAGAGAAAATATCGGAGACAACTCTGGAATATCGCGGTGCATCGTAAACTAAGATTAAAATACGCAATGTGGAGTATCACGTCAATGCTTCGTATCTATACAAGAGCCTCGATATATACAGTACCCGGAATATCATTACTGTTTGGCAGCCGTCGTCGACTTGGTGAAGGATTATTTACTGTAAAGGTAGCTGCGCGATGCGAAGGAAATTTCGCTGCTCCATTATCGTACGAACAGCCTGACAGATCCTTCCGAAAGCCCTTAGCATTCGCTTCGCCGCCGAACTTCGTGCTTAAGTTGGGTACAATGTTCAATTTGGTATATAATGCAATCCTCTCATGCTTTTCTTATTAATTCTCACAAGACAAATATTAATTCGATTTATTATACGTTAGAATCAATCGTACGAGAATTTATATTTTATATATTAAATTATTATAATTATTTTACATTAATTCTTGCGCGTTATACGCGTTTATAATTGACAGAGACCTCTATTCTTCAACAGACAGAAATAATATATACCGGTACACACAATAGCTTTGGAAGTAGTTGCGCGATGCTAGAAATTTCACTCTCTTATTATCGAGGCTCTTACATACGTATAAAGCAGACCCAATTTGTGCGCGCGATCATGCCGTCAGGTTCTCTGATAGCTCTTAACTTTATCCTCTACGTTCGCTAAGGGGTGAATGAACTCTATATATTCTGTTATTGACATCAAATTCAAAAATATTCTTATACATTTATCCATATTTTCGCGATATATATCGCTTACACGTATCAAATTTTAATATTTTTTATTAAAAAAAAAACTATTTTATCTTATGTTAAAAAAACTGTTTAACAAATGGAATGTGAGATTAATGAACTGTATTATTGTTGTACGAACGTTATAAAGTTTATATAACAAATATGATAGATATACATTATTATACGGATTATACATTACATTGCAATATGTAAACAGATATAATTAGAGCCTCGAGGTTTTGATTATGAAAATAAAATCCTTGCTCAATTTGATGTCGGGCACGACGATACTAAAGCGGGACATTCCCCTCCTGCCCCCCTAGGTCGAACTCGTCGAGGTCGCCGTAATTAATTAATCTTGTCTGGCTAATTAATCCGCGCTCGCCAACCAGGTGAATGAGTAGATTGTTAAGCAATACGTCATAACGAAATATCTGTATGACCTATTTTTTTGCACGCAAACTTCCAGGCACGCGAACTGATCTGTGGAAATCTCGCCCGCTCCGTTCCATCGCGTTCCTCTCTTCTCTGTGTTCCTCTCCTCACGTTTTGTCTTGGGCTGACAAAAACATGGCGCAAAAGAGTCTCACGCTGTGTGGCCAACATCAGGTGTAATTATACGCGGGTGTAATCGCACGTCGTTCGGCACGCTCGAATATGCGGAGAACGCGAGCTCTTTTATTATAAAAGCAATAAAATTTCTTCGTCTCGCAAATTCCTGCTCCGCGTCGATTCGAACGTTTCTATTACTGCGCGAGCAAAAGAGCAGCTATAATGAATTTATCCCACTCGTATGATCCATTACGAATCTTTCGTACAGCGTTAAATTATTTTAAACTTATTAAGTTACGTTTGAAAGCGAGACTTTTTTCGTAAAAATTTAAAACTTTCCGGCATCCATAAAGCGTAAAATGGAATTTGTTTTACGATTATTTCGCTAGGTTTTCTGCCAGCCCGGAGCTTTCCTTTTACTAAAAGATACGTCAAGATAACATGCGTATATAAAGTGGGTATGCGGGTTCTGACTTTTAAAATACGACATGTTCTATTTTCTTGGGTAATGGTGCAAAATGTCCCACTTTTTGATAATTACATTTTACGGATTATTACTCTCCTAGATCTCACATCTGATTATCCGAGGAACTTGTTGTTATTCGCAAAGTGTTACAAAGTTACAGAAATGAAGAGCAAGATTGTTATTATTCTGCGTAGAGATTTATATTTCGTATTAAATTATAATTATAATTTAATCGCGCGCGAAAGAGAGAGAGAGAGAGAGAGAGAGAGAGAGTTTTGCGGTTTTACCGGACTCCACACGCAGAACAATAATTAGCAATAAATCGTTGCCAGTTGACGTGTTGTCGGCTTTTCTTACCGCTTTCCAAAGAAAGAAGATGTCTACGTTCGCTAAGGGGTGAATGAACTCTATATATTCTGTTATTGACATCAAATTCAAAAATATTCTTATACATTTATCCATATTTTCGCGATATATATCGCTTACACGTATCAAATTTTAATATTTTTTATTAAAAAAAAAACTATTTTATCTTATGTTAAAAAAACTGTTTAACAAATGGAATGTGAGATTAATGAACTGTATTATTGTTGTACGAACGTTATAAAGTTTATATAACAAATATGATAGATATACATTATTATACGGATTATACATTACATTGCAATATGTAAACAGATATAATTAGAGCCTCGAGGTTTTGATTATGAAAATAAAATCCTTGCTCAATTTGATGTCGGGCACGACGATACTAAAGCGGGACATTCCCCTCCTGCCCCCCTAGGTCGAACTCGTCGAGGTCGCCGTAATTAATTAATCTTGTCTGGCTAATTAATCCGCGCTCGCCAACCAGGTGAATGAGTAGATTGTTAAGCAATACGTCATAACGAAATATCTGTATGACCTATTTTTTTGCACGCAAACTTCCAGGCACGCGAACTGATCTGTGGAAATCTCGCCCGCTCCGTTCCATCGCGTTCCTCTCTTCTCTGTGTTCCTCTCCTCACGTTTTGTCTTGGGCTGACAAAAACATGGCGCAAAAGAGTCTCACGCTGTGTGGCCAACATCAGGTGTAATTATACGCGGGTGTAATCGCACGTCGTTCGGCACGCTCGAATATGCGGAGAACGC